ACACACACACACACACACACACACACACACACACACACACACACACAAAACAACAAACTGGGCATGTCTGCACACACCTGTAACCCCCTTCCTGGGGAGGCTGAGACAGGACGATCTCTGTGACTTGCTGTCCAGCCAATCTAGCTGGAACTTCAAGCTCTAGATTCAGTGAAGGACCCCTTCTCAAAAAATAAGATGTAAGCTGGGCATGCCTATAATCTCAGCACTGTGGGAGGCAAAGGCAGGTGGATCTCTGTGAGTTCGAGGCCAGCCTGGTCTACAAAGTGAGTCCAGGGCAACCAAGGCTACACAGAGAAACCCTGTCTTGAAAAACCAAAACACATACACAAACCGGTAGAGAGCAATTGGTGACCTCAACACTCACATGTACACATGCCCACACATTCTCCCTGATAGGTACACAAGCTGCCATTAATATGCGTATCACACACACAAAGATGAGAATAAATTCTCAAGGGTGGCACAGTCACAGAGGCCTTTATAAACTTTCTACATACCCCAAGTAGACCAGAAGCCATGAGCTTGTGTTCCAAAGACCTGGATAGGTCAATTCACCTCAACAGTACAAGCTGATAATCCCCAAATAACTGAGCAAAGAGAAGTATAAATGCATAAGAGGGCTATGCAGATATTTTAAAAAACAGTAAAAACAAGTGGGATTTTTAATTCATTCTTCAGTGCACACATATCTATTAACAGAATACAGAACTCTTGCTGGTTCAAGGTGTATGACTATTGAATTACTTTGTGGATGAATACTAAACTACACAGACACGGAGGAGGCCCCTAGAAAAATCAGCCTTTAAAACAGAAACAAGATGAAACAAAACAAAGGGATGACAGGTGTTTCAGTGGCCACACACTATATGAGAATCAGAAATAACTGCATTAGCATTGTGGTTTGAATGTCCTCCAAATCTGTGTGGATATTAAGCTTTTAATTTGCTTTTTTTTTTTTTTTTTTTTTTTTTTGAGACAGGGTTTCTCTATTATGTAGCTTTAGTTGTGGACCAGGCTGGCCTTGAACTCACAGAAATCTACCTGCCTTTGTCCCCCAAGTAGTGGTATTAAAGCAGGTTTGTTTGTGACAGAGTCTAATGAATCTCAAGCTGACTTTGAAGTCATTATGTAGCTGAGGACCTTGTTTGTTTTGGTCTAATGGCATCTACCTCCTTAGTACTGGTATTATAGGCTTGCATGAGCAAATCCAGCATAGTGTGTGGTGTTGGGGCTGAAACTCTGGGCTTTCTACAAGCAATGCAATCACTCTACCCTTGTTTTTGCTTTTCTCTTTTTTTTCCTTGGGGGCAGGGGTTTGAGACAGGGTTTCTCTGTGTAGGCTTGGCTGTCCTACACTAGCTTTGTGGACCAGGCTCACAGGGATCCGCCTGCCTCTGCCTCTCTGGAGTGCTGGCATTAAAGGCATGCACCACCACGCCCTGCTTGTTTTTGTTTCTTTTGACACTGTATCTTACCACGTAGTTCAAGGTGGTCTCTAGTGATCCTCCTGCTGGATAAGAGGAGGGATAAAAAAAATTGACAAGACTATAGTGATGAGTGCTCTGGTCTTTATGTGTTGCCATTTTTACCTATTTTTAAAATAAACCTTATCAAAAACTTGCAAATAAATAAAAATATCACACACCAAAATTCTGGTGTTCTGCAGGAAGAAGTCTGTTGTCATTGGAATAGGTTCCAACTTACAAAAGGCGTTTGACCTCTGCTTTTTAAAATTTTGTGCAGGTGTACTCGTGTGTGCCTATCAGTTTGTTTGTGATTGTGTGGATGCACACGGAGGTCAGAGGAGGCCGTTGGATCCCCTGGAGCTGGAGTTACGGGCAGTTGTGAGCTGTCCTATGTGAGTGCTAGAAACCGAACTCAGGTCTCCTAGAAGAACAGCAATTGCTCTTCAGCCCAACCTCCTTTTCTTGCCCCCTCTTTGCTTTTCCTCCATGATAGTTGCCACCTCAGAACGATGCATGGGGCAAGAAAGTTCTTTCCAGGGCTGGTTCTTGATCTTGAACTTCACAGCTTCCGGAATTGTAAGAAACACGTTTCTGCTAAGTATATGATGTCCCGCTTCATGTATTCTATTATTGCAGCATAAAACAAGTTATTTAGAAAAACAAATGTTTGAAAATTTAAAATTTTCAACATTTTCTTTATTATCCAAAATTTCCAGTTTTCCCCTGTTACCTTAAATGTCCAGTTTTCAACAAAATATTATAAGATATTTAAAAGAACCCAAAAGGCCAAGTAATTGTATGGAGTATTCTCATATTTGTAATTCAGAATTAAATGAAAGTATGATGAACAGGTCAGGTGAGATATGGACTCTCAGTAGAGAGATATTCTGACCAAGTATCAAGTGGATCCAGCATTGTTATAATTTTGATGTGGTTGGTTTGTGCCAAAACTCATGGTGAACCTCAGACGTCAATGAAGCAGCACTGGCCAGAGGCCTTTATGAGGGACTGGTGATGGGCAGCCCTAATGGGGTAAGAAATAAAGCACCAGCAGCGACTCAGGCCTGCAGATCTGAGTCCAATACCTGGAGCCCACGGAGGAAAGCCCTGACTCCTGAAGTTGCCCTGGCCTCCTCATTTGTGCCATGACACACCCCCATTCACACCCATGTGAATAATAATACAGGCCTGTGAGATGGCCCAGTGAGTAAAGGGGCTTACCACCGAACTCCTGACGGGCGCTCTAGCCCCAGGACCTACATGGTGGGAAGACTCAGTCCTTAGTTGTCTCTAATCTCCACACATAACCTCTAAACCCAGTTAAATAAATAAAATAAATTTTAAAACAAGAAAACTTTTACAAAGGGGATTAATGTCCTTGTCACGAGACTGGTAAGTTTTCATGACTGTAGGCTATAATAAATTAAGGTCAGCTTCAAGACTCCTGGCAATGGGGGCTATGGAACCTGAAATGGCTATCTCCAGTAACCAGAAAAGACTTCCAATGGAGGAATGAGGATACCAACCCAGTCACAAAACCTTCCACCTACAATTTGTCCTGCCTACAAGATGAGCAAGGGTAAAGATGGAATGGAAATTGAGGGAACGGCCAATAAATGACTGGCCCAGCTTGAGACCCATATTATGAGAGAGAGCCCATCCCTGACACAATTAGTGATGCTCTGCTACACTTTCAGACAGTGCCTAGCATAACTGTCATCTGAGAGGCTTCACCCAGCAACTGGTAAGAACACATGCATAGGCCCACAGCCTAACATTAGGTGGAGCTTGGGGAATTCTGTGGAAGAAGGGAAGAAAGAATTGAAGGAGCTAGAGAGGTCAAGGACTCCAAAAAAACCTAATCAACTAACCCTGAATCAACTAACCTGGGTCCACAGAGACTGGACTGCCAAACAGAGAGCACGCATGGGCCAGACCTGCACGTATGTAACAGTTGTGCAGTTGGGTCTTCATGTGGGACTCCTAACAGCAGGAGCAGGGGCTGTCTCTGACTCTGTTTCCTCCTTACCTGGCCTTGTCTGGGCTGCCTTGTCAAGCTACAATTGAAGAAAATGCGCCTAGTCCTACTGCAACTTGATATGCCAAGATGGGCCTATCCATGGGAGGCCTCCCCTCTCCTGAAGAGAAAGGGAGGATGGGAGGAATTCGGGGAGGTGATAGGGAGGGACTGGCAGAAGAGTAAGGGAAGCTGTGGTCTGGATGTAAAGTTAATAAATAAAAAAATTAATTAGAAAGTAGGTCAGCTCTTTCCTT